CTGCCAGCACAGCCATGCTTAGACATTTTAAAGAAAAGACAATGGTTAACTAGAGATGTACATTAGTGTCAGTCCTTCCAAAATTAAGTAAAACTGAGAGGTTATAAAGGAAGAGTTTTTATACAAGAGTGCCTGATGAATATCACAAACAGCTCTACCTGAGTCATAAGTCTGTTCTGAGTCAATTTAAGATGGACAAGTCTTTTTAACCTCCTACACCGGTGACTTAATCTGTGTTTGTTGGTGGTGGTAGTATGATTATCTGGCCCTAATATTTATTATGAGCTGCTTAATGAGCTCCCCTACTTGGGAAAAAGCTACAGAATTCTCTACCATGGAAACTAAAGGCCAATTTCTAAGAAAATATATGCTGGCCATAGCCTGTACTTAATCATCACTCAAGTTAAAGGGACTCCTTGCTCAGACTCCTCCTCCAGGATTGAAAAGTTATCACTTCCCCTTCCAGCCTTATGACTTGGTTTTAGCCACAACCAAGAAAGAAGACAAGTTTCCACCCATCTGAAAAGGAACTTACCAGTGCTCCTGATGCCTGGGACAGCTGTCCGAACTACTAAAAGGGGTGAACCTATTTCCATGGGTGGTTTCCACCTCAAAAAGTAAATATGACTAAGATAGGTGACAATACCAAAGGGTACAGGAACAAAAATGAAAACGAGACCAAAAGATGGAAAAAGAAAAAGGGGGGATTGATGAGAAATAGAAAGTCTGGCTGTCCATTTTCAGAACATGTTCAGCTTCAAATGTAAAGTGACTTAGGATGCAGGAAAGGCAGCTGGCCAGGGGAGCAGGATGGAAAGTTACAAGCAGTTGACACCAAAGTGTCAAAACTCACAGCCCCTGACAAACAGGAGGTGAGAAGGAAGGGGCCCACCTGGCCCTGACCAACAGAGATAAACTGTGAAATTGCCAAAAGGCACTCAGCCAAGGGGAATGTCCCACTACAAGAGAACAGAGAGAGGTGGGACAACTAACAGACACAATCCTTTAAATAACCCAATAGGAGCGGGAAAAACCTAGGTGACTTGGGGAAGATTGTGCACCCCAGAGTACTCAGCCAATGAGGAGCTGGGAGAGGGGATAAAACACCGGTTGTACTCAACAGTAAAGCCTTGCTCTTTGCTGTTCCTGTGACTCTTGGACAGGTGAGCGTGCTTCTCATGCTATTTGACAGCCAAAGAACAAAGCACACCAATACACATTGAGAGCCTGACAACTGACTGGTGTGTTCCTGTATCAAACACTCACCTGCCCTGGCCCCTTGAATCCTAAAACAAACCACAACTGTGTCGCAGTACAAATCACTGCTCACTCTAAAGTGGAGGGACTGCTGGAAAACTGGAGTTGAATTTCATTCAAAGACAAGAAGAAAAATCTCTCTTAATAGTTGGACTAAGAAGACTGCACCCAGACTTTAAAACCCAATTTTATGCTTCCATTTAAAGTGCAAACATAAATGGATGGCATTGGAGAAGATAATGCTAAGTGAAGTCAGACAATCTCTAAAAAACAAATGCCAAATGTTTTCTCTGATACAAGGAGGTTGACTCATAGTGGGTAGGGAGGGAGAGCATGGGA